GAAGAAGCACACATCATGACATGTGCGCGAACGCCGCCTGGGATAGGGAGCGGTGCAGTTGGTTTATCCCCAGTCATGATGTATCGTTTGGTACTTCTGGGTCTCCAACGGCCATGCTTGTCTGGGATTTCCGAACGCTCTAGAGCCTCAGCCAGGAGAACGTTTAGGTCTTCAGCTTCTTCATCATCTCGTAGCGGCTTCTTCAAGAGTTCTTGAATATTCGTGCTCTTCAAGAGCTCCTCCGTCTCTCCTCTAGACCACCTGTAAAACTCTGCTGGCATCTGATTCCCTTTCCGCGTTGCATCACCATTGAGACCTCCGATTTCCTGCGCTGCAGCTTCACGCTGCACGATGACAATGACCTGGTGCAGGTTGTCATTCGCAGCCCGGGCGAGCGCTCTCAATCTGTCTGCAGTTTGCGGGTCAATTGTACCGCTGTCCAGAACATTGTCCAAAATTAACCTCAATTTGATACCCTTATTTTTCAGACTGGTGAAGAACGGGCGGGCGATTTCTGCAGTATACTTGACGTCGGAGAGGCGAAAGAAAGACTCCAGTTGCCGCTCAAGGTCGTTCTGCAAAAGGACGATGACCTCGTTCGACCGTCTACCTTTTAGCTCAAGTGCTGCCAGTGTTGCAGCAGTTGACTTTCCAGCACCAGGCTCTGCGTGCAGTGCGTAGACTCCAGCCACGCTTGTATTCTGAAGCACTGCAACCATGAGCTGCTCGAAGGGCGTACCTCTGATTGGCTCAGGAGGCAAGTCTGCCTCTTGCGCAATCGGGATGAGAACACTATTCCCCGCATCTACAGCTTGTTCAATACCTTCTGTCAATTTGTCAACATGTGTCTTCGCATCGTTGCCTTCATAAAGCTCTCGCTCTCTCCAGGTCTCCGCAAATTTTTGCACTTTTTCAAGGCTGTCCACCAGCTCGGCTGCAGGTGTCAGAGTTGTTTGCACCACGTTCCATGCACTTGCGACTGAAGCTAGAAAACTTGGGTCTTGCACAAAATTCGCCAGTGCTGATAGCTCGTCTAAAGTACGTCTGCGAAACACGTGCCTGCTTCTAGTCCGTGGTGTTGCAAACACCAGTGTTCTTGCCCGCTGCACAACAGCTGCCAACGCAACAGCAAGCAGCACTCTTGTGGCGTTGGGCTTCATGCTGGGCACAACCAGTCTGCCATCGGGTCCGAAACAGGAAGTTGAGGGGACTGAACTTGGTACTTGTTGGTTGAGAATCGAGTGATACGGTAAATATACACATTCTCAAGGTCCAAACATGACATGCAACATTTTTGGCCCATTGGCCTCTTGCTTGCAAGGATTCGAGAGGTAAAAGCTGAAGTCGAAGGTGTGATCGGGAAACCAGAAAGCTTGTCCAGCTCCCAGCTCATTTTCCAACAAAAACTATGACAACCACACTTCAACAGCTCTTCTAGTTTGAAAACAGCAGCAGCTACTACACCAACAATCGTTACGTTGCTTTGAAAATGATTCAGGTCCGAACCATTGGAAACACCAAAAAGAATCGCCCAAGCCTCGGCAGCCTGACTAACAAATGGCTCGGAGAGTGGATGCCGTCTTTTTTCCAAGTCTCTGCCTACATTTGAACCTTCTCAAAATAACCGTGTAAGGAAATGAAGACAAGATGGTCTTCCTTAGCCACTTGTCCTAGAGGTGGCAGCGATCGTATGGCACGATTGGGTGCGCTGAAGCTAATGGGGCATCCGACGTGTTGCAGCCACAAGAAAATCACCACCCACAGCACGGATTTTTTGCGCACTCTTCCCATTGCTTTTCAGGGTTGAGCGCTCAGGGGTTTAGGGTTGAGGGTTTATGGTAATTATCTGGGTTTAGGGGGTTTACTGTAGGGCTTTGGGCTCTGGGCCCTTTCGTTTGAGTTTTGCGTTGCGGGGTGCTCGGCTTTCAGTACATGTCAGAAGTACACTGTTCCTCAAGGCTGGACAATCTTTTTGTTGCCCAGATCCTGCAGTACACAATGCAATGAAGATATCATAACCCTGGCTGCGCTGAGACCCCGCATCTGGATTCCAGTTGTTCTGAGTGTCCGATCTGATCAGTAGCTGCTTTCATTGCATCCCCATGCGAGGCGTGAACGATGCGAAAGGACTCCAATAGACTGACAGGATCCCGTGCTTGCAGAGGCTGGTTCCCAGAAGACAACGCCCGATTCGAATTTCGATACATTCAGTACTGTTCACTTTCAGAGTCAATGGGTGGTACTTTCGGAGTTGACATTCTGCGAAACAGCGGCCATGGAAAGCATAATCAATTTAAACCGCACGGCGACGCAGAGTTTTGATAGAGGCTCCTTGATGCGGCCCGCGCGTGGATTGTGGATAAGGTAAAGGTCCACGTAGTTGGCTAGGCGGGCGGGGTTCTGGTGGGCGTGCTTTTGGTCGATGCATACTATGAAGACACTCGGGAACCTAAGGAATGCTGCTGCCAAGTCCAAGGCCCGTGGACGTTATTGCTGTGCTCTCCAAAATATATACTTTTTGTAAGGAACCCTAAGGAATGACGTGGGTGATTATTTAGGCCAGGCTTCTATATTACACCCGTAAGACCGAAGATTTCAAGCAACCGACTGGTGTTTGAACCGGGGGCCAGAGCCTGAAACCATAATCAAGATACCTGCAGGTCTGGGAATGTCAGGAATGAATACAACGGGGGCTGCAATGTAGGGCTCAGGGCTACAAGCCCGTGACTAAGAGAAATTATATAATGCCGGCAGGCTACTATGAGCTCATGCAGAGATTCCCCTGGCATTGAAAGGGGTCGCCCACAACGCTCGCAGACTTCGCAGATCCTTTTGGCTCAAAGCTGACGGACACATTCAGGTCCAATATAGAGAACTGAATACATAGAATAATAGGGTTTTGCGACAAATAACACTACCTGTAGTTTCCATTGTAGTTCCTTGTTTAGGTTTAACCAACAATATACTAAGGGTTTTATAAGGCATCCCCAAAAAGGAACTACAATGGAGACTATAGGTAATGGGACCCTTAACCTGAACACTGGGATCCTCAATCTGTGGACCCCCAAAATGCGGCCCTCAATTTTCTACGATGTGCCTAAAAATCCTCCGCGCTGCATCCGAAGGAAGGTATGCCATAATCGGGCATCCATGTGTGGGATAATCGTAGTGAAGATTCGTCTAGTAGTTGAATATTATGATTATCAAGTGGAGCATCAGGGCTAGATAGAGTACAGTACCCATGAACCACCGAACTCCTACACAGGCAACTGTGCTTCTAGGGCATGTGCTCTGAGTTTCCTTAACTTGTCCAGTATCCTAGTGGAACTAAAGGTCAACCTCTCGGATTACACAAGGGTTAGAGTCCACCGAAAAGGGTTTAGGGTGTAGGGTTCGGATTATATAAGGGTTACAGTCCACCAAGAAGGTTACGGTTGCCTACTCTACTACTAAGTTCCCGACTGCCCAAGTTTTTCAGGCTCTCCGCCAAGCACTCCCTGACCTCTGCAGGAAGGCATCGAGGGATTGTCGTGCAAGGTCTTCCTGGAGTCTAGAATTACAGAATTCAAGGGGGGGCCTGCGGAGTCGGGTTCAGGGTTTAGGGTTTAGGGTTTAGGGTTTACTCTAAACCCGAAGCCCTAAACCGGTTTAGGGGGAAGCTTTGGGGGATTCCGGCATTCAGGTTTACACTTGTTTGTTGCAAGGGGGGTCTGGGAATATGGAGGGCAGCATCTTTCCAAGCGGAAGCTGTGGGGAAAGCCTGTCAAGAGGGAGACACCACCGTATCAAGAAAGCCCAAAGCCTCAACCCCAGAATTTAAAGCCATGAGCAACAGCGTCTAACTCAAGTCAATAACCTACGAGCGTTATCCCCATCACTTAACTAGTTATAATGTCACTGCTATTCCTGCTTCATACGCGTATTCAAAAGCAACGGTACATACATATACCTACCCAGAGGGTCCTATGTACTGTTATGGGGGATACTTCCCAAAATCATCATAGTAATTCCTAATAAAGAAACCCTACATTCTACTATATAGGTACACAGGACCCTTTGGGCTATAGTTTGACTCCAAGCTCCTGGGACTGCGCCAGCAACATGAGATGCGCTCACAGAAGGCTGCCAAGACCCCAGGTTGCTCAAACACTGTGATACTGTGCCGTTTCGGGTTTAGGGTTTAGGGTTTAGGGTTTAGGGTTTTAGGGGTTTAGGGGTTTAGGGGTTTAGGGGTTTAGGGTTTAGGGTTTAGGGTAAGACGGCCGAAGGATTCTAGACTACATCCTTACC